CAAAATGCCACCTCTTCTGCAACAGAGGACATTAACTAAAGCGGAAGGCATGACAAAGTGTAGAACAAATTGCTACCAAAATCTCAGCTCTGACTAGCCAACAGTTGGTCATTTGATCTGCAGTGAGCAGAAGACAGGTTTCAGGCTGCGCTCAAGGGAAAACGGGAAGAGGAGGTGCAATATTTTATTCACTAGGTTTGTAATTCACTGTAGGAAATAAGATGCTTACATTCACATTTTCCTTTTCTTCTCTCAAGCAAAACACCAATTTTTGATTATTTTTGGTTTTACATTTTCTTTAAAGCTGTCTCTCCAAATTCAAAGCAGACAGCTTCATTCTGACCTTAACTCTGTTACTAGTCTAGCCTTAATACATAGTATTTCAGTCCCAACAGTGAAATTATATTAAGATGATTAAATTCTAAGCAACAGGAATAGGAAAATCTGAAAAAAGTTTCTCAAACATGAAAACCAGATTTACTTCTGTCAACATAAAATCAGGATTGATATACATCCAGCTCTCAGTAGACCCAAAAAGACAGGCACTGAACTATTATAGTGTTTAGCAAATTAAGACTCAAGTTCTGGATGCTGTTGGTTTGAAACAAATTGTGTGTGTTCCACTAAAATCCATTATATTGTCTAATAAGCAAGCACCTTCTAAGGACTGCTTAGAGCAATAATTCTTAGTCTAAAAATTAAAACACAGAGATTGCTTATGAAAAGTTATCTGGTTGTTGAAAAACTACAGCGAGTGCTGATAAGAAAGCATTATAGTACTTACCGTATCGAAAGCTCACAAAAATCTGTTCAGTACACAAGCACCAAAGGGAGATGGAACTAATCATGAAAATTCATTTCTAATAACAAAAAGGCTATAAACAAACCGTAAAGAAAAATAACTTATGAGTATTTGATACCAAGGATATTTTGTACAGAGGTTATGCTGCTTCTGTATGAGACCTGGAAGAACTCATAACTGCTAATACAATTCAATACATATATTTCTCCTGTTTACAGTCCTCTAGTTGGAGGCTTATTACTTACGCTGTATTTGCAGGTTCTCTTTTGATCCAAAACTTGCTTAAAAATGGAACCTTGAAATAATTTTCATTTATTTTTATGACACCTCATTTTGTCCAAAAGAGATTAAAAAAAACCCAAAACACCTACCGTATTGTGGCTTTATTAGTGATTTTTTTTCTATTTAGTAATTCCCTTTCCAGAGGGATCTTCTAATTTTATTAAGAAAGTTAAGAAAACAGCAATATTGCTTTTCCTAAGGAAAAAGGAATTTACCAGCAGCAGACAAACTCATTACATTTCTGCCCAAAAAGCTGCTTGTCTCGGAAATCTTTTTCTAATTGGGACTTCGTCATGATCAAAAAATAGTGTCCTGTGACAGACCAACAAAATGTTTCTGAGATTTTTTCATGATCTTATACATTTTGGCAATGGACAATGAACATTTTTAGCAAGCGGAAATATTTGTTTTTATCACGGAACAATTTTATTTCTTTTTTTTTTTTTTAAATATGAGGAAGCTATCTTTATGCCTTGGTACCTACAAGCATTTTCTTTATTGTATTGAAAAGTCTCTCTGGATTTAAGTATGGTTTAGATTAAAAACTTGCCCCAAGAAAGCTTTGCTTTTTAATACAAATACTGTATTTTTGTCTTGTAAAGTTATTCATTACAAAATCTATTAGCAGATGGCACGTTATAAATAACTGCATTTCCCTATTTTTATTTGTGGACTATAAAACTATTATGGGATGTTATGTTAATGTCTTTTGGGAAACTATTAACAACTGCAAATTCTACCTACGCAGTTTGTTGTTTAGCTTTGTTTCTATTTGCATAAAGCCAGTCCTCTGGCCTGCAAAACCTGTTAGGAAGGGAAAGAAAAAAACAACCCAAAACTCAATTCTACCATACTTACTATCAATAATTTTGTTGACACCATTCAGGAATTCCATAGACTCAAAATAAAATCACAGTCCTTTTTCTCCTTTCAGAATATAGCCTCTTAATCCAAATAATATCAGAGAAGTTAAAATTTAGTCCATTCATCTGGCAAATGTTTCCCTCTGTTTCATAAACATGCATATCACAGAGAAAAATTGTTCAATTTAAGGTTTCTTACATGATTAAAGTGTAAAAAATCATCATAGAAATATGGTTATTCTCAGACTTAATAATGTCCTTATTGTAATGTATTACATTTCCATAAAACAAAGATTTAGCAAAACCAATTGTGTTATAAGCAGCCAGTAAATACAGTTAATTGTCTAGGAGGATTATAAAATAGAAATTCTTGTACTACGGACAATTATGTTCCAACAGCCTCACCACAAGTTGGAGGTAAAATGTCAAGAAAACTAGGAGGACATGGGGGAAAATATGTGACAGCTTATCAGAAATGCTGGTTCAAAAATTCTGTGGCTAACGTCAATAAAATAGCCCGTCTAGAAAAATACAGTACTACAGGTACCATTTCCTCTATGCATGTTTACAACCTGTAGAATACTTCCTTTTTTAATATTCTAGTTAAAAGTTATATCCTATGGGAAGGACAAAAAATACACACTAGAGTATATGATGACTTTTTACACAACGATAATTAATCATCACATTTCATTAATAAATTGTCAAGCGCTTGCAAGCTTGTCCACAATCTTTTTCATCTAGTTTGCATATTTTATAATGGTGGAATAACATTTTAAAAAGTTTGAATAGGCACTTACTGGAATTACAGTTAATCCTGATACAGTCTAGATGGGGAAGAATAGATGAAAAATGAAAATTTATCCTTCAAGGTAATAGCTGCAGACATCCAATAAAATCACAGTCCACCCTTCCGGGGACAGACACATGCAAATATGGCCACTCCATATCATCAGTCTTTACATACTGTTATAACCCAGATATACTGCGATAAATCTTTATAAATAGAAACGACAAATAGGGTAAAAATGGCCAATTTCAAACAAAGCTACATGGTGACAAATCTAAGTGAAAAATCGGGATTAAATGTCAAAGATGCTTAACTGAGGCAGGCTGCAACCTTCTCCCCATCTGTGAAAGAACAGGTAATTTCTCTCAATGCAATTAGAAAGTGCTCCGTCACAATGGGTCATAGAGCAAGCCAGGCCACAATCAAACATCTTGGACAACTTATGTATAGTATACCTCAAAGGCTGATCTTCAATAACTAAGTAGTAAAATACAAAGCTCATTCCCCAGGCCTATAAAATCGGGTTTTGTGGGTTTACTTTTTCTTAACGTGTAGACTTAAGAAACGAACAGTGACTACGTTTAAAGCTATATCAATATACAGAAAATAATCACATACCTATAAACACTGATAATTAGAGAATTCTGTCTATTTTCAGATTATTTCCTTGCCTGACGTAAAAAACAAAACAAAACAAAACAAAACAACAAAGGAGGGGTGTTGGAGGAAGAAACAATATTGCTAGGGCATGGATTGATGGAGTGGATTTATTTGCTTTCTTGAACTACAGAAGGAGGTAAAAACTGACAGAGGGTGGTGTTTTGTATATGAAGAGAATGACCTGACCTCTGGCAGGATCCTCTGCTGGGCTACCTGCATTTATTACTGTGGGGGGAAAAAAAAAAAAAAAATCTACGCCACTCTACTTGGTTTGTGCAGCTACTCCTGTTTACACCTTTGAGGAACATGTATACCATCAAACCTAGATTTTGTTTCCATATAGCTGAGTTTGTCATGTGTCGTCAACCGCATCAGAAAAGTGGTTGCAAACAGCCAAGGACCAG